GATAGATAGATAGATAGATAGATAGATAGATAGATAGATAGATAGATAGATAGATAGATAGATAGATAGATAGATAGATAGATAGACAGATATGAAATTATCTGCAACAAATACATACACCAAAAGTCGTGACTAACAATATACTTCAAAAGGACAAAAAGAACAGAGCAAAACGTCGTCTCCGAAGGCCTGCTGCGCATGTGCATCCTTGCTTTCTTTTGTCCGTTGAGCAGAGGATTTGTGAAGAAAAGGAGCAGATCTGCCAGCACCAGGAACAAGTTGTCTGGGGATATCACCACACGGCGAGTTCGCAAAACGACGACTTATACCGCTAGTCTTCTTTCGGTCTCCCCGTCTTCGAGTCACAGTATTGGTCTGACCGTAGGCCCCTTTTTTCACGTTGGTGGGTACAGACTTCTGAGCCATTGCGTCGAGCATTGAAGAGAAAGACGTAATTTTATCCGTTATGGCTGAGGATCTCTTAGACGTAGACGTGTTTGCTTGTTTACTTGGATCTCGCTTGTCGGACATCTTGCTCGAGTGGCCGAGTTTGTCGTTAGGTTCAGCCCCAGCCTTGAGTGACGGAGAAGTCATGCGTGACGGCACGAGAGGACTAGGGGAGACTCCAAGAGACGGGGTGACCTTGCCTGGGGGAATTCTGTGTTGTGACTCGGACTGATTGCCACGCCGTCCGGTCACGTGGATTATCTCGCTGGCAACCGAGGGGAAAGCGTACAGGTTCAAGGTCACGATTGAATCTTGGATGTAGGCAGATACCCGCCAGCCAGGTCTGCGGAGAAAAGGGTATTACCGGCATCGGAAGTGTAGCAGTTAAGCCATTCACTGTTACGAGTTCGATTCTCAAGTGGGGGGGGGGGGGGGGGGTTATCGAGTATCTCGGTATTTTTGTTGGAATGTTGTATACATCTCGACCCGGTTTGTCTCTGACGGACATGGACGAAGCCTGCCTCCTAAGTGATCTAAATCATATCGATGAGGGCGTAAAAATACCTACAATTAAAAAGAAACAAAGGTGTTGTGAATTGTCTCGATTCTTTGGGGTGAACTCACTTGTTGTTGTACTGCATTCTTTCCAGTAGAATGTGGGAGGTTGGCGGGTGCTCTGGTGTGATTTGCTTCTTCGTTCATATCAAACATCTATCAACCTTATCTCTCTTCCTACTTTTTGTAGTAATTACTTTCCTGTAGTACGTCTGATCTCCGGCCCTTATATGACCTAATTGTGTTGCAAGTGCCGTTAAGCTATTATTAAAACAAAACTTGTAGTGTTGTTGTGGTTGGTGTTGGGGTATTGTTTGGGGGTGTTTTTTGGTGGGTTCTTTTGTTGTTGTTGTTGTTTGTTTTGTTGGGGGGGG